GGCCTCTTCTTTGCAGCGTTAGCCTTCAGCGGCTTGAAGATGCGCTTCTCCTCTTCGGCCTTCTTCTTGTCGATCAACCCCGCCGCCAGCTTCGCCGCGATGCCCTGCATCCCCTTGATCGCGACATTCGTGTCGTGCTCGCTCGCGCCCGTCACCACGAGCTGGACGACCTGAGACTTCTTGACGCCGCCGCCCTCGTTCATCACGCTGATGAACTTCGCGTCCAGGTTGCCTCGCCTGTACTGCTCCTTCATGATCACGTTGAAGCTCGACCCGTTCGGCGCCTGGTGCGAGCCGATCAGCTCGTTCTTGCCCTTGGGTTCGTTGGCCAGGAACTGCGCCACGGTGACGGTCGGCACCGACCATGTCACGCCGTCGCTCCACTTCGCCACGATGTTGCTGTCGTGGCTTGCGCCCGCGGCCACCTCGATCTGGAGCGACGGCTCCTTGGGATGGCCGTCCTTCACCCTGTGCGCCAGCTGGGAGCCGAACGATGCTTTTGGCATGCCCCCCCTGCGAACCCTCCTCCTCCTCCTCCTCCTCCTCCTCCTCCTCCTCCTCCTCCTTCTCCTCCTCCTCCTCATCCTTCTCCTTCTCCTTCTCCTTCTCACTCTCCTCCCTCTCCTCCTTCACCGCCTCCCTCCTCCTTCGCCTCCTCATCCTCCTCCTTCCCCTCCTTCACCTCCTCCCTCTCCTCCCGGCCTCTCTCCCGCTCCCCTGGGAATCCAACTTCTCGGAAGTCAAGCCCAGGACACCAGCATTTTTCGGGCCAGGGCCGCCAGGATGACTTAACAGAAAAAATGAAGCCAGGCCGACAGAAAACACACGTTAAACAGACAACGCAAACAGAGGTCCTTGTCCTTCGTGCTCCACTGCTTCCTGTAGGTGTCGCTCTGCTCGCCCTCCCCCCTGACCCGAAAGACCTGCAACCACTCGGGGAGCTGGCTCTTGTCCTTGGTGCGCGTCTTGCACAACGCCTGCATGAGCAGAGCCGCGGTCGCCCCAATCTCCCCCTCGCCACCTTCCTCCACCTCCTCCCCCTTCCTCGCGTTCGCCCTCATCCTAACTCTCATCTCGTTCGCAATCGTGCGCCCCGTCTCGCGGGGGGATTGCAACGATCACCAGTGATGAGAGCTTAGACGAGGGCGAGGGCGAGGAAGGAGATAAGGGGATGCCCACTGGAGAGAGTTGGCGAGGAGACAGGAGATGGGATGGACCGAGGTCTGCCCAGTGGCCTGGTCGACGTCTCTTCGAGCAGCCCTGGTGCGCAATGCCATCGACGTCGCCCACTGGTCGGCGTGCCCGTTCAAGTGCCAGGCATGCTCGTTGATGATCGCCACGGCCTTGAAGGCATCCTTGACGATCATCTGCGGCGCTCCTGGCGGAATGGCCTTGATGATGTCGGCGCCCTTCTGGATGGCCTCTTTGTCAACCTTCCCCACGAATTCCTCGGGCCGTCGTGTCTGAATGTGAGGCCTGAGGGTGGAGGGCATCAGGATATCCTGATCGCCTCCGCCCTCAGGTCACACATCCTCTTCTCCTCAACCTCCTCTCCAGGAAATCTCCAGACCCTCCAGGACATCCCCAGGTAGATTTCAGGACATCTCCAGACCCTCCAGACATCTCCAGACCCCTCCAGGACATCTCCAGACCCTCCAGGACATCCCCAGGAAATATCAGCAACGAAACCGCAAAGTCACCGACATTCACGGCAAACTCACCGATCCTCTCGGTAGCCGAAGAGCTCAGACGTCGTGACCAGCCCCGTGAGCAGCTCTACGAGGTTGGCCTGGTCCACCTGACTGTTTGATAAATCTGCTCCCCTCGGCTCATCCTACTGCTGCTGCCTCGTCCTCTTTGGGCTCCTCCTCCTCCTCCTCCTCCTCCTCCTCCTCCTTCTCCTCCTCCTCCTCCTTCCCCTCCTCCTCCCCCTCCTCCTCCCCTCCCTCTCGACCTCCTCACCCGCCTCCCCCTCCCCCTCCCCCTCCTGCTGCTACTGCGGTTGTTTCTGCTCCTGCTGCTGCTGTTCCTGCTGCTGCTACTGCTGCTGTTCCTGCTGATGCTACTGCTGCTCCTGCTCCTCATCCTGGGTGCCCACCTCGGTCCTCTTCTTCCCGCCCTTGGGCGGCATGGCAGCACCGTGGCGCGGCGCAGCCAGGGCGGGGCGAGGGCATGCCACCGCCTGACCTGAGCCGTGCCCGCGGTGCACTACCTTGCCCTGCCATGCCTTGCAGTCGCTGCCTCACCCCTCGAACCCAAGAACCCATCACTACAATGCAATACAATACAGGCAAACTCCTAGTGTTGGTCGGGTGCAAATGCACATGCACCGAAACACTAGCAATGCAATGCGAGACACGCAAAAGCAACACATGCAATGCGATGCATGCATATCGCGCCATGAATATGTTAATGGATCTATAAATGTGTCTTGGATCTAAAATTGTTCAGTTGATCTTAAATCTTGTGTTTTACATTCATATGATTATGTAGATCTAAATTTCGAGATGTTGCTCTATACGAAACACACAAAATAAGCGGATCTTAATTTAAGATCCTGGGGACCTCTGGGGAGGCGCCATGAAATCTGGGGAAAAATCATGGCCCGCGCCATGAAATCCACCCCCCCCTAATCATCACCCCCCTCTTTTCCGCCCCCGATCTTCGGTATCCGCGCGAGTCCTCGCGCGGGGACCCCCGGGCGGGCGTTCGTGAACGGAGGAACGCTGGGACGAACAAGCCATACGCCGCTAGGCGCGTGGGGAGAAGCATGCGTCCAGCAATGCTCGTCGCGGGGTCAAGGGAAGCCGCGGGCAGCAGGAGGAGGAAGGAGGAGGAAGAGGAGGCCGGAGATTGCCGTGCATGGTGCTGCGTGTGTTTCCTGCCAGCCTTTCTTGGCCTTGACGTGAGGCCCCTCCTTCTGCCTTCCCCCCTCTGTCAATCAAAGCTGTGCGCGGCCCGCTCAGCTTCGACCGGAAGAGGCTCGCTCTCGACCCGCGGATCAAAAAAGTGTTTCCTGCCAGGGCGAGCGGGCGCGAAACACGAGGAACGGGGGGAGGAGGAGGATCACAACTCGTGCGGGAGGGAGCGTGCACCCTCCCAGCGCATGCTGGGCCCGCAGTCGGAGCCTGGGGGGCGTTTGGGGCAACTCTCCACTTGCCGTCGCTCGGACGTCCCTTTCCCGTGGCTTTTTCGATGTCGTGCGTGCTTTGTTTTTTGCGCGATGGTCCAGGATTAGTCCTCGATGGTTCTCGCCGAGGAAAAAATGCACACGTCCGAGCGATGCACACGTCTGTACTCCTCTACAGTCAAAAACCCTAATAAGGACGCGCGACTTTGCTCAGGGTACCCTTGCGTCCTTGCTCTTCCTTGCTCTTGCGCCCTCGGGGTTTTCGTCGCCCGCCGCCCCAAAAATCCCAACTTCGGCTTCCAAGGGTCTTGCGTCCTTGCCGCGCGTCCTCATTAGGGTTTTTGACTGTATCCCATCAACCCCACCCTCGTTTACGACGCGACCGCGCCCTTCCAAAGCCCAATCCCAAACCCGCCCCTGGAGGGAGTCCTCCCGGGTGTCCATATGTGGGGCAGCGCAGACGTGGCCACGAGGGGCCCCAAGAGAGGGCTGCCCCAACATAGCACCTCCCAGAGATCCGACGCTCCGATGCTCCCAGCGCACAGGCCGGTGTTTGGCCCGACCCGTTGTTGTTGTTGCTGCTGTTGTTGTTGCTTTTGTTGGTGTTGTTGTTGTTGCTGCTGCTGCTGTTGAACATTATTTATTCGAAAGAATAATTATTGTTGGGCCCCCTGGTGCGCGCCCCCCCTGCGCCGCCTAGGCCGCAGCTACATTTTCATCATTTTCGTGAGGAAGCCTCAGAAAAGAGGGTGTGTACAGGATCCGGCTGTTTTGTTGTAATCCGCTTTCCCTTGCAAAAAACAATAGAAAATGACATTTCTTGTTCTAATATAATCAAATTTCAAGAATCCCTTGCAAAAAATAAGGTAAAGTGGACATTCGCGCGCGCAAGACGAAATCCTTCCAAAACCTTAGTTTTCGTAGCGATTTTAACATAAAAACATAAAAAAAAAAAAAACCAATGGTTTTTCAACAAAAAAATTGTCAACATTTCATCCCGCGCGCTCTTGCGGATTCGTAGGAAACCCAACACTTTTTAAACATTTCTGTCAAACGGGCTTTTGCGAGCAACTTTTTCGAACTTCTGCGACAACGGTTGCGCACCTGCCAGGGCCATCATCCCTGTCAAATAATACCATGCGGGACACATTCGTTTTTTCTTCGCGCGCGCACGCCGTCGTCGTCGGCCGCGGGGCCCTGAATAGTAGCCACGGTCGTCCGCATGCCACGAAGTGAAGTGTCCGAACGTCATAGGGCGGGAAGCTGGGTGTGGGTGGTGGCGAAGAGTCGTTTGGAAATTTGGTAGAGCTTGAACCGGCCCCCCCACAAAGTGGGGGTATTGCCCGCCTCCTATGAAAACCCTGGCACTGGTGAGAACGGAGTGTCCCCACGTGCTAGTAATTGTTGTTGTTGTTGCTGCTGTTGTTGTTGTTGTTGTTGCTGTTGTTGTTGTTGGTATTGGTATTGTGATTGTTGTTGTTGCTGTTGTTGTTGTTGCTGCTGTTGTTGTCAGACGGCCCCGAGGCCCGAACCCGGCCTCGAGGGGCCACAAAACGGCGGCAACAAGACGCGGACTGCCTCGACAGCGTTCACGACGCCAGACGTATGGCCACGAAGGGTCTCCAGCGGGCCCCTGAAGTCGCAGAAGCGTCAACACTGAACCGCGACCGCAATCCCTCAAAAGGCCAACCCCGAAGAAATCAAGCCTCGGACTCGAGCCTCACAATCCAACCGCGAACTCGGACCACGACATCCAGCCTCGACTCGAATCCGATCCTCAATGTCTGGCCTCGAACCCGAAGCACGAGATCCAGCCTTAAAGTCTTAACTCAAAGCAATCCACCCTCGAACGTTTGTGCGCGCACGCGGCCTTCACGGAGTGGTAGACAGCCACGTCCCGCAGCTCGTCGCTGTGCATCAGCCAGGTCAGGTACACTCCCAGAGCCTTTTGTGAGGACGCAGGTGCACTCACGCTGGCGCTTGCTGGGCGAGTCAAACTTTATGACAAGGATGCGAAGGAAAGATGCGAGACACTTGGACGCTCAAGTTGAAGTCTTTCCGAGCGCTGCACAATTAGCAAAGATGGCTAAGGATTGGCCGAAGAGGGAAGGATGCAACGGCACACTTACAGAGTAGCTCATCCTTCCTTTGCGGTTTGGCACTCATTTGGGGCAGCACCAGGTAGTCGGAAGCGCACATGGCTGGATCCCGATGTCGGGGCCGCGCGCAGAATGCGCATGTGGACGCCCGTCGTGCCCGGTCAACGAAAAGCCGCGCGCTGATAAGATATCTGGCCACCTGTGTATCAAGCTCTCGCCCAGGCAGGCCGCGTCATGAATACCCGGACAACAAAAACAACTGGGAAACCGACGCTGCTCATAGCAAGCGGCCGTCACACGCCTTTCCGCGCCGCCTGGACGTATGGGCAGATTTCTGCGGTCTGGCCGGCCCTTCCGCAGGAAGGGTGGCAAGAAGCAGAGGGGCACCGCGAAACACCAGGTCGACGCATGTGCAGGAGGGGGTCCAGAGGCCCAAGGACACACACACACACACACACACTACCAGACACAGGTTCCAGGATGCCCCATGTGCTGCTGCAGATGTTCTGGGCCTTCGTCTTCCCCTCCACGCCCCATCTGTTCTGGCATGCTTTTCTGGGGAATCGACGTTTGTCTGTGTCTGTGCCTGCTTTCCCTCCTTCCGAGGTGGGAGAGAGTGGCCGCTGACCCAGGCAAGGCTGCGTCCTGGAGGTAAGTCGGGGATGTCCCCATATAGGGGGATTTTCGACGAAAAATATAAAATACCCCAAAAATACAAACAAAAGGCCAAACAATACTCAAAACATAGTCCCCAGACTATTTTTGGATTATGTTTTGAATGTTTTGGGGGTTCTTTTATGTTTCGTCGAAAATCCCCCTGTAGGGTGACACGCCCGACTTAATGCGGGACGACGTAATAAAAAATGAAGAGAACGATCAACAAAAATAGTTCTCTGCTACTTCTGCACAACTTTCTGACTGGAGGAGAACGATTAAAAACAAAGTTTTCCAGCCCGCGGCCGGTTTTTTCTAATCGTCATCCCGGGCGCCGCCGCGTGAACACGGCCCCTGGTCATTTATTAATCGTCATCCTCCATTAATCCTGGAGCCGCCCCGCTTGTGGCCCGAGAGAGCGCCAGCTCCTGGAAGGGTGGGCGGAGGGCGCACGGGGAGACCACGCAGCGCAACCCCGACGCTAGACGACCACAGAGTACTGCACCGGCCATGCTGCAGCACAGTGCAGCTTCTCATACATAGGATTTTTTTTAAACACGTAGGATTTAAACATTGGATTTTCATACATAGGGGTTTTAACACATAAGGGTTCTTAATACATGGGATTTTTAAACACATCGGATGTTCATACATGATTAATGTATGAACAAAGTTATGCATGAACTCACGGTTGTTTTTAACACTAAGCCCTGTATGTTTTAATGCATGATCCGCACGCGGAGCATGTATTAAAAACGGCACTGTATGACGAAAGAACAGCACACACACACTCGTTCTCCAAACCCGCTGACCGGGTTGTGGCAAAACTTGCCGAGGAAGAGTGCAGCTGTCAGACGTCCGATCTGTCACCTCAGACTTGGGTCGTCCGAAGGGGTCGCAAGCCTGACAGACGAGCAGTTTTAGAACCCCCCCCAGACCAGCCATGACAGGGCGGGCTTTGTCCAGACCCCACTGGACCCTCCAAGACAGCTCAAATGAGAACCCTCATAAATCAGAACACCACCCTTTCATTGTGAAATCCTGAGTGTCCATTGGGGGAAACGGAAGGAGCTAATTACGGATGCGTGCTGTCAAATGGAAGGCCCCGCTCGAACGGGGGCCTCCCCCGGGGGTCCGACAACCCGCACCGATACCCACAGCCAGCCCTCCTCTCTCGGACACCCCCATGGGTATGGGTGTGCGTCGCTCGTTCGTCACCCCAGGCGAGCACGGGAGATCGCATGGATGCGAACAGTGGA